GCCTTTCTTTTTCTGATACCGAATGCTACCTCTAATATGTTCAAAAATCTTTCATTTTGCTGCCTCGATTTCACCATAATGTGTTCTTTAAGAAATTCAAATTATTTCTTCCTTGTGGTCCTATCGTTTTGAATACCTTTGATGAGATCATCATTGCGAGAGGGTGTAAGTTATCTGTTTTGTTTTTTTTTTTTAACCTAAGACTTGGGTTTGAGTTGGATTGAGTTGATATGGCAGAAGAGGATGCTACGTTCTCTTCAACTGTGTTTTCTGCATCTGTTTGTGCAGATTCCGCTTCTTCTTGTTTTTTCGTCGCATTGGTATTAGCATTATCCACATCCATTGAGCCATCCAAACTTCGTGGAGTTACTTTATGCTTTCCACAAAGACAACTGATCAATGGGAAAATTACCAGAAACCAGTGCCGAAACTCAACCAGATAATAAAGTAGCCTCGAACGTTGCAGGGACTAGTAATGCAACAACTTCCATGGGTACGTCATCGAGTAAGACAGTATCAGGTACTCATACCTGGCAGTATAGTGGAACATTAGCTTTGGTCAAGTCTATGCAAGTTCATATGGATGATCTAAATCTTCCAAAGAAACGGAAATATGTTTTTGACAACTGTGTAAATGATTTGTTGAGCGAGGGCTTTTGTGTAACATCCACATAGTGTCAAGTAAAATGGAAGTCCTTAGTTAGAAGCTACCATTCAACAAAAGACAATCAAACAAGAACTGGCCGAGGTCCTAGCAGGTTCCATTTTTTTGACGAAATGGATTCTATTTTAGGTATCCTAAAGTTATATAACTTGGAGATACAATTGGTTTCATCCTTTATCTACACGCTTTTAGGTACAAAGCCCTCAAATCAGTGCGAACATGCAATTGGATCAGATTTGAACTCTGTGGAAAAAGCGAATCCTACAAAAAATGAAAACACTTAAAGCTGCGAGCAAAATATATTAGCAGAAGCAGCCCCAACTGTTGAGAAGAAGACGGGAAGTGATAAAAAAAGAAAAATTCCTGAACATATAAAATACTTTGTGGAACAAAAGAACAAAAGGCATGGCGAGAAAATGGAAATTGAAAAGCAAAAAATACAAAATGATAGAGATAAAATTGCTCTATTAAAGTTGTACCTTGAAAGAGACAAATAAAATGTTCACTTAGCTGTTTATAAGTTATTAGAATTATTATTTGTTTATTTTTATTTTTGTTATTAGAATTTATTATTATTTTTGTTGGAGTAGGAAAGTGCAATAAAAACATGTTTTTTTTTGTGGGTAAATAATTGATGTTTTGTACACGTGAAAAACTTTTATTTTATTTCTACCATGAGATCCTAATTGAAAAACTTTTCAAACAAATATTTTAAGTCAATGCATACAAAAAAAAAATATTTAAATAAACATATTTCTAAAAGCTTCATCTCGTTTACGTTTTGCTTGGGTTCTGATGTATCTTCATCCGGATCATCTGCCTCAAGGGATTGTGAATCTGGCTCTACTTCCAGTAAGTCATTTTCCAAAATGCACATATTGTGTAAAACACACGCAGCCATTATGCATTTAACAATTAATTTGATATTCAAGTTTTCAAAATGTCCAAGCCTTCGAAATCGTCCTTTTAGGAGTCCAAAGGCATGTTCTATAACCATTTGTTTATAGAAGAAAAATTAACCCTTAATCTGTTTGAAAACTAAATTTGAATAAATAAATCCTAATAGGCCTAGGTACAGTAAGACACCCTTAAGGAATGCGGCCAGCGCAACAAAGTGCTCGCGGCTACTCAGTGGTGTGGGAGTAGGTTCAATATTGAAAGTTAGCTTAATAGGGCGCCACTGGTTTACAAAATACAATCCGCGGACTTAAACCAGAAAGTCCCTGATCTCCACAATTCCTATAAAAATGTACCTACTCGATGTACCTATCCTCTAAAATAACTTTACCTTAGTTTGGTTGAGGTCAGTAGGGGTAAAATAACAGTCAAATATAAAAAAAAAGCAATGATTATAAATCTATTTAATATAATCTGGGGGTATATTTAGAACTGCAATGGCATTCCAAAGGCCAATATAAGGCAATATATAAAATACCACAGTAATTATTATCAAATGTAATTGTTAAAATTACCAAAAGCTAGCATGGATCAATTTGATCTTATAAAAGACACTCCAATAAATTTAAGATTTACCAATAAAATGTTTGACCACCTTACTCCAATGAAAATAAAGGAGAACAAATAATTAATAAGGGGATTAATAATATTATTTAAAACCTGTGTACGCTTATACCATGGTATACCAGGGCGGGTTTGTACAACAATGTCACCTTAGATATAGTAAATTAATATTCATTGGTACATTACACCCATTGTAATAATGAAGGCGGTAAAACAAACTTGGAAATGTACCAAGTCAAATATAAAAAATACAATCAATAATTATAAACAAGAATAATTAAGAAACATTAATAAATCAACGGGTACATCACCCCGTTGTGGTCTTCCCTGCAGTCTAAACACACATTTACATTACTGTCTCCTGAATGCCTCACAGCCTGGATAACAGACCCCATCAACTTCTATTGAGTTCCCTACCTAAATAGGGTAAATTACAGGTTCAGATTCAATGTACTCTGACACCTCACCTTCGAAACGTTAGCAAAACGTTGAAAGCGAAAAACCCAATGGAAAGGTAAAACCTAAAAACCTAAAACCTGAAAGAGTACAAATTCTTAGAATCCTTCCATATTTATAAAATCAAAATCCCATCCCTCAAATCGTACATAAATGATATCTTAAACAAAAAACCACTTAATTAATAAGGCCATTAATGTCCTTTTTGGAAGTGATTAAGGAGTTTTTTACTGACAAATTGACCTTCGTGGAGATCAAATTGCCTTTTTTTATAGAATCCCAAATATTTACAAAACTACTGATATGCTAATCTAAATATTGATAACGTAAATTTAGATCGATAAAAACGTTTAAATTAACCTGGTTACAAATCGGCCTTCTAGTTGAACAAAACGTGCTTCCAGTTGAACAAAACGTGCTCTCTGCTCGCATCGACAATTCAACAAAATGGCGTAGATTTCCGTCTCCAGAAAATTCTGAGTGGTTGGCTCACAAATACGGGGACTTGCAAGTTTTCATCCCAAAACCAATTAAGCCAGCAACCACTTTAGTTCCCAACGGCTCTAAAATCCCACAAAAGGTGGATGTTCCAAGGAACGAAGCCAAGAAGACCGCTGGTAAAATCTGCCACTTGTTGCTTGCTCAACGTGCGAATTTAAAGAGAACGACCTTATTTTCAGCAATTCACCAGGTGAGCTCCCATGAAAAATTTACCAGAATTCTATTATTTTCAAGATGCCCTCTGGTGCCAGATTTCCGGTCTTGACCAGGAAAATGAAACAAACAGAGAGTGACCCATTTCAAATGCTTATAACGTTTAAACCAGGCGAGCTAGCTACCTGCGGTTTGTGCCATTCGATTTCTCTTGGTCTAAAGTTTTTTCCAGTAGGTTTCAAATTTTTTCAAACTTATAGGTACAGAGCGAGTAAAAAAAATCCGTTTTTCAACATCGAAATTCTCCACTATTTCTAATGGAACACCCTGTATATCACAACGTCAAAAAAAAGATTCATGCTTAAGGTTTCCATGTACCAATAGACATCGTCCCTAAAACTTGAAGTTTTAGCCGAAAAAAAATCAAAATCGAAATCTTGGTATTTTTGCAAACGCATGAAACTTCATATTATAGGAACTTGATATCACTATGGCAAACAATTTTGTAACTGTGTAGTTAGATATCAATTAAGTTAAGATACATTTTCCAAGAAAATTTAACGAGTTCCAAAGTATTTTTTATGGAACTCATTAGATAGAGATACCCCAACAGTTTTGTGTGCAATCTCTATTGAGAAAAAATACAGACCATTTTCATTGATGAACCAAGAATAACAGAAACTGTATACACCTCGGTATACACTGATATGTTCTTGATGATATCTATTTTCAGCAGGTTGGTGCCCTTCCACCTCATTATTCATTAATAGCAAGGGAATTACTAGATATGACATTTGGGGAGAGACGGATAAGGAGAGGTGGCCTATAGAATGGACACCTTACTCTTTTGACTTGAGAGTTCTAGACTTTTTTTTCTGGCGTTATGTCAAGGAAAGATGCGGCAATACTTTGCTAAAATAGCCTGGAAGATCTTAAGCGGAACATTTGTAATGTCATTGAAGCGATTCTCCAGGAAATGTTACACAATTCATTCAACCATTTATTGATCCATAAATGACTGGAATAGAATGGCTAACATATACATACTTATAGGTACCTACAGCATTTTGTATAGTTTTATGCAGCTGTTATTAACTTTTTATTAGGCAAACATAAGGTCCAAGCTTTGAAAATAGGTGCTTGCAAAAATACCAAGATTTCGAATTTGATTTTTTACGGCTAAAACTTCAAGTTTTAGGGATGTCTATTGGTACATGGATACCTTAAACATGAATGTATTTTTTGACGTTGCGATATACAGCGTGCTCCATTGAAAATAGTGGAGAATTTCGATGTTGAAAAACGGATTTTTTTTTACTCGCCCGGTATAAGTTTTAAAAAAATTTGAAACCTACTAGAAAAAACTTTAGACCAAGAGAAATCGAATGGCACAAACCGCAGGTAGCTAGCTCACCTGGTTTAAAAGTTATAAGCATTTAAAATGGGTCACTCTCGGCTGGGACACCCTGTATATAAATTTTTTAATAAAAAAACTACTTGGTACTTACCTATCTATAAAAAAAACTGGGGTAAATATGGTTATGCATTTTTAATTAAAAATTGAATAATTATTAAAATAAAACAATAGAATGAAAATAATTTGTAACTTTATTGAGGTCTAATCTACAAAAAATTTTTCACTTCCAAAGTAAAAAAAATGTCACTTTCAAATCACATTTCAAAAAGGCATAGAAAATTGTTGACCGTAAATAAACAATATAAAAAATATAAAATAAACATTGTATATTGAAAATAACTAAGCAAACAAACAAATATAACTAATATAAGTATGTACATCTAAAATAAGCAGAATTACTGACCCTTAAATATTATGGTTTTTGGAGATGATTTCGAATAGGATCTATTATTTCAGACCTTCTTTTTGTTATAAAATGTATACGAATGTTGAGGTATTTTGAAATAACAGATTCTGTGAGAAAATATATGTGGTTGCTATTGCAATTTAAAATGTGATCTTTCAATTCACTAAAATAATTATTTTCAATACAATTGAACCTTATTTTGTTTTTAAAAATATCAAAAAATTCTTTTTTGTCAAGGTTCTCGTTGATTCTCAAAAAATGTTCAGAAACTTTACAAATTTCTATAATGTCCTTGGAAGGGTATTTTTTTGATATTAAAGAAGTTAGGACATTTTCTTCATTGCCTCATAAAGCTCCTAAACATTTTTCGCACTTAATTGTTCTAGTTAGTTGCAGAGCTACAAAACCAGTGACAATTTGTAGTGAACAATGAATTACATTAGTACTCATTATATATTCATGATCGCTCCGATTCTCTGTAAATCGTAAGTTTGATTGTCCTCAGTAAGATCAAGTCTTGATTCATTTATCGCATTATTATTTGAATCGAGATTTTTAAACCTACTAGAACCTGATAGAATCAAGTGCGATACAATTTCCTAATCCACCATCACGAATCTCAGCCCTCACCAATAATCTTTTGTATACAGCAGTAAATTGCCAACTGGTAGGATTGTTATTCCAGCCGCGTTTAGCTCGTAAAGAGCTGAACATGAGATCCAAATGATCCCGGCTCACTTTATAGAGGGGAAGATACAATAAATTTTTCTGGTCCATTATTAAATCATTATACAGAGCTAATGCACTTTTCAAGGATATTATTAATCCTAAGAAACCAGTCTTCCTTTTTGAATTTATAAGCAATTCACCATCAAAAAACCTTAACTGGGAAATATAATCAATTGCATTGTTGATAAAGTTTTCAGTAGGTGTTACATTTTTTTCACACAAGGCCTTTTTGAAACCTGGAGGAATTAGGGATCTACTATTAAAAATATCAAACACGTTGTTCATAATTTTAATAAAATTGCAAATTGCCTCGCATCCCCTGAATTCTTTAAGCTCTAATTCTCTTTCACAATAAGATAAAGCATCAGCAACTGAATTACTTAAAAACTGTAGGTACTGGTAATTTAACTTTCATCTTTTGCTTGAAGAAATTAAGATGTGCCCGTCTAAGCCTGTTACCTAAGTGTAAGCCCTCCGCATTTTGTAGACTTTACAAATGTTCAATAAATTCCCATTTGATAATACCTTTGTCTTTATCAATCAAACATTTTTTCTCTCCAAATGTGTTTCTCACCAATTTGAGCATGTTAATAGTCCCAAAAAATATGTTTTTTTTTTTTCACTTAGTGTAATGAGGGTTTTAAAGATGTAGAGATCCGTTATGTCTGTATTGCAGCCTAAAATATTAGACATGATAATATTTCAAGGGGCTCCATCAAAAGTTAAGGACACTACAACCACCCCAGTTTCTTCAAGCAAATTCACACATTGTGCTACAAGGTTACTTTTTTGTTGTCCATTTAGGCCATCTGTAAAAAAATACCCTACCGGTAATTTCCATCGCCCATTAATAGCATTCACTAGCAAAACAAAAGCTTCCTTTGCTAGTCCATTCCCATCATCCTGTAGATCAATCCCATAATTAACATAACCATAGAATTTGATGTCATTCCATTCTATATGTTTCCGAATGCAGATTTTGTCCATTATCAGAGATACATAAATAGGTTTCTCAGAATTTCCAACAAACGTTTTCAAAATTTGGAGAGACTCCTTTGTGAAACATGGTTCGGCATTGATATTCTTGAACCATTTGCCAATAGTACTCGATGTGGCAGGCATGAGTCAAAAGCTTGTTGTACGTAATCATACCCCTTTGGCGAAAAAAAACTTAAGGTGATTGCAAATTTTCTCAGTTCAGGAGAATATTTACCTTTGCTAACTAATTTACGTTTCAATATATCTTTACTTGTACCCGGTAAGTTAGCAATTAAGTTTGAATGTTCTAATGACAACAAATTTTTGCTTGTTAACTCTTTTGTAATTTGTTGCAAAGATATTTTTTTTTGTACCTTCTGACTTTTTGTTTTAAAACTCTCACTTTTGTAGATTGTATTTTTCTCCTTCTCCTTTCTCGAATCAATTAACTCCTCAGTTTCTTCTCTCCTGGCGAGTCTTTTCTAAATTTTGATCTAGGGCACCTAATCAGTTCTGGCACTAGCTGAAGATTCACCAGTTTCTTCCCGGGGTCGTTTTTTTGCCTAGAAACAATTATTATGTCTTATTTAAATTTCTCACTTTTTCGGCCCCCCACATTCGGTTTCATACTGTTTCTCAATGGGGTTGTTCATCATAGTCAAAATCAAGCATTTTTTTCTGTTGCAACGTTAGATAAGAATGAATTATTAATTATAAGCACAGTGAATTACAAAAAATATTCATGGGGTAATCAAAATTTCGTTTTAAAAGTCCACTTATTTCAGGCACATTTTAAAAATGAATTAAGTTGACCCTATGATGACGTACAAACACTTACCGACCAATAGGATGTAAGCAAAGCGGCAATGCTAAATCCTCTTCTAAATTTTATATTGATATTGTCTAGTTAACCATTATTTTATCCTATCACAATAATATGCATGAGAATTCTTTGACAATTTGAAACCTAAAATATATTCTAACTAAAAATGTGACACTTACAGCTACTGTTTACAATTTTTTTTTATCTTTATCAAAGTTTTTACAAACTAAACACAATCCCCAAAGAATCAAGACGAAATGTGGCAACCCTGCTTGTGATCCTGTGACATAACTGACATGACAGATGTGTTACCCTAACCCATAGAGAAATATAATAAACCTCTAAGTAATAAACCAAGGTAAGAGTTACCGATTCATATGCGCGAAGTGGCAACGTATTTCTAGTTGTTTCTTGTAGCACATGGTGTCGCTAGCATAGCTTGGAACTATCTGACAATTTTGACATCACCTTCCATTCTCATATCTCATATCTATCTCTTTTTAACAGATGCGATAATAAAGGAAAAGAGGACAAAGGATTTTTTAATTATTGTACAATGACATGTTCAAAACTGACAAAAAAAATTTTGGACACAAATTAGTCAACCTTAATCTCAATTTATCAGTTGATTTAAAAATTCTGGTAAGATTTACGAGATATACAATCTGAAAATGGCTCAGTTTATACATAAGTAATGATAATTATTAAATAGTAACCTATTATTAGTAGAAAGTGAGATGTTTTGGCTGTTTTTGCTTTTTTTTTTGTTGTTATCTTACGGTATAAGTATAATTTAATGGTGTTTTCGATTGGTAGATTTAGTGCGCACTGAGTGTATTTGCATCCTTTTAATCGACCTGTAGAAGAAAAAGACAGAAATAGAAAAAATTGCACTAGTTCCGCACTAGATCTACCAATCGGAAACGCCATAATTTTTATTATTTCTTTATTTACGTTGTTTATGTATATTTTTTTTATTTGTATACGTATGTTCTTTGTTGATTTCGAAAGATGAAAATATATGAGCCAATTTTAAGCGATTAACCGTATTTATTTTTGTTTCTAGGCCAGCGTTTTTCCGAAATTGTTTTTCTGTCGACCGCGGAAAAACGCTGGGTTAAATTTCTACCTTCAGAAATAACAAAACTATAATTTAAAAGTTCAAAAAGCCCGCCAAATGTTATTTAAATTGGTCTTGTAGTGTTGGGTGGCGCAAGTATCGATCTGACGTCATCGCGTTGCCAGTGTCGTACCACAGAATCGGTAACTCTCACCTTGGTTTATTATATTTCTCTATGCCCTAACCTAGTTTTGCTGGTTTATTTGTGTTGAATGTGATTTGTTTATTTATCTTTCTTTAAATAAAAACTATCGTTTTAAACAGTATTTCAAAGAAGTTTTCTGAACAATAATTTTAAAAATATGTCGGCGGTGGAGAGCGGATTCGTTAAAGCGGCTTCTGATAATCTACCAAACGTGGACATTGAAATGGTAAATAACTTTTTTGTGAACAATTTACAATTTCTAAGTTCGGAAGTTCGCAATATTGAAACAAAAAGGTGTGTATAGTGGTTGTATACATAAAAAGTTTTCAATAGAAACTGATAAGATTTTTGATTATTACAAAAGGCATACTTTTTTATTCCCAGGTCTGCCTCAGAAAATTATGGAGACAACGCAATAACATATGTCCAGCTAAAAAAACAGATAACATATGTACAGTGAAGGCCAAAATTACTCCAGAACATGAGGTTAGGAATGTAGCCTATAGACTGCAAGCAGTGATCAATGAGGAAGACGAAGAAGTGCTAAGTTGTGAGTGCTTGGATTGCCCAGCCTCCGCAGGTAACTATATTAATATCATTTAATTATGCATAAATTAATGAATATTTTTGTTTTAGGAGGTTGCAAACATGGAGTGGCCTTTTTGTTGTAGCTTCACAGAAGGAGCCTTCAGTTACTCCAATTGAATGCTACTGGAAAAAGTCCAAGTTGGCCAAGGGCGTCGAAGTAAACCAGAGCAATGCTAACTTAACAAAAAAAAAAAAACACCTATCTTACTGAAAACTATCGACTCTGATTTCCTTAAGCAAGTTGTTGAAGGTTGTTCCCAATCAGAGGGTACATTATTTAATTTTTTTTTTTAAAGTCGAACTACAACTTAGTTCATTCTATCAAACTATGCAGATTTTTGAAGAAAGTAGCTTTGAAAAAAATTCATATTCTTTTATTGCTTATGCAAAAACTGTCATGACTGAAGAAGCATGCAGAGCAGCAGAAAAAAATAGCCGTGAGTAGGCAGACTCTACAGAGTGGTTTGAACTACGATATGGGAGAATTACAGCTTCCGTGTTGTACGAGGCATCACGATGTAGTACATTATCTGGGGCAATACATGAGAAAATATAAGGAGGTACCCCTGCTCTAAACACTTTTGCAGTTACCAGAGGCAAGAATCTTGAGTGTAGTCTCAAAACACAAACAAATCAAAGTACACAAGGCAGGACTGTACTTATTGAGAGAGTATCCAATTTTCGGAGCTTCCCCAGATAGAATATCAGAAAAATATGTCATAGAAGTCAAATGTCCATCAAAAGAAAAAAGTGTGGAAAACTATACAGGGTGGCCAATTGAAAACGAAACAGAGGTGATTTCGGGCTCCCCAAGACATTTAAGAAAAAACCCTCGTACCCGTCAATTTTTGATTTAAGGGGGAACCATTTTTTTGGTGTTTTCACCCCCTGGGGGGCAAAGCCCTAGCGGGGGTGACAAGGGCCCCCAAAATTTTAAATGGAATGAGGGGTCGAGTGATACCTTATTTTGAAGCTATTTTTATGTAGATTATAACCCCCGAGTCTCACATCGCTACTATCTACCTAGCCATTACAGAGGCTAATTAAAGTTACAAAAACATGTTGGAATATTTTTATTTAAAAAAATGCTTTAAAAACAAAATCAATCAAGTAAATGCTGAAAATGACCTCAGAAGAAAAAATCTAACGGGCTTAAATCTGGAGAACGCGGGGGCCACTCAATATTGACGAGCCACTGCAGCATAATGGGATGACGCACAATCTTGTTGGAATATTAGTGTATGCATCTGTTATCATTCTCTAGTATCTCCACTAATTCTGGATGAATCGCAACTCCTAACCACTCTAGGTACATTTCTCCTGTTAAATTTATAGGTAAAAAAGGGGCCTATTTACGGTTATCAAAAATGCTAGCCCAAACACTCAAATAATCTACATCTCCATAATGCCCTAGGACGTTATTTCGTACGTATTATACCTGAAAATATTGTATGTATACCTGGAAATATTGTATTAAATAAATATTGTATTGAATATAAAAAAATTGTATTAAATAATGGAGTATAATTAAATGGTATTTTGGTTGATGTGCTACTAACCCCCTTTTTCGTTTTATTTCCTCCTCCCTCACCATTGAAAAACTCATAACCCAATTATTTTTTTTCAATAAATGGAGCAGCAGTTTGTATATTTCTCTGATGAGTGCTCCTTTTTTCTTGAACGGTACGGTGAATCGTCTCAACTGCCGCTATTGGGCTAATTCAAATCCCAG